ACTGGCTCCAGGCCTGCTCCTCCGGGAATGAGGTGCTGGAGGTAGACAAGGACGCTGGCGGCCCCAGGGCTGGGAAGGACCACGGGCTCACCAGGCCCTGGGAGCCAGGCACTCAGGCCGACAGAGGTTGGAGGGGACAGGAGCCGAGGGCCCGGTCAGCCGCCTCTGCCGGGGCATCCCACGTGGCTCTGACGTCAACAAATGCCTGCACAGGGCGACACAGGCAGCAAGGCCAGCCGACCCTGCATGCCTGCCAGGCCACCACGCATGGTGGAGGTCCGGGGCTCCCTTCGTCTTCTCATTCTCCTTTTATCGGGCCAGATCAGGGCTCCCGAGTCCCGTGAGCTAAGGGAGCGATTAGGTGAACCCGAGCAGCCTGCGGACCCGCCTCGTGGTGGGGACGTGGCCGCCTGTGGGCGGTGGGAGCCCCTTCCCCACTATCGCCTTGGTTCCTGCCCATCATCAAAGTTCTCTGGGGGGCCCTGGGTGTCCACCTTTAGCTTTTCTGTGCGAACCCACAGGCATGCAGTCTCCTGTGCTCACTGAGGTGTGGGGCTGGTTTGGCCTGCCCTAGGCAGTGTGCTGACCGTGGGCTTAGATTGTCTCTGGTGTCCAAATATGAACTGCTTCTAGTTCAATTTCTGGGGCTGGCGCGCACACAGGCCTGGAAACCCCACCCTGGTCCCATGGGCGGTGGGGCAGCCTTAAGGGAGCCCCTCCAATAGCCTGGTCTTGGAGACCCCTGGCCACATGGCCACCCTCCAGGAAGCCCTTCTGGACTCGGACCACGCGAGCCACAGGAGATCCCTTCTCTCCTCCTGTGAGTCATCACCATGAGGGCAGGTGGGCACGTAGGCACATCCGGGGCTCCTGTGGGAGCGGAGATGGAGCCGCCTCAGTGGAGCCTTGAAGTGGTTTTAAGAGGAACAGGCTGGCAGGGGCAGGGGGGGCCGTGGGCACAGCAGGAGGGCTGTTGGGCTCGCCGGCCAGGTGCAGGGCTGGCTGTCCTGCCCAGGGGTCACTCCAGGAATCTGCCAGCACCCACCTCAGCTCCTTCCTCTTCCTCATAGCTCGGTCCCCTGGGCCCTGGGGCTCTGGGCAGTGTCACCAGCGTGTCCTCTTCCTGCCTCTGTGGGCACCTTCACTTGGGTCAATATTGATCTGGTTTCATTGAGCACTTCCTTCTGCCCCTTCCCTGTGCAGGGCCCTACCTGGGGGGGTGGGGTTGGGAGGGGGCAGGGGCAGCTGTGTGGGTTCCGGGAAAGTGATGGAAGAGCTGGCCTGCGTGGGTTAAATTCAACAAAGATTGACATTTTCAGAGAGCGCTCTTCCCCAGGGTTACAAGCTGGCAGCTGGCGGGTCCAAACCTCAGACAACGGATTCGGGCCCAGGGGAACAGGCTGCTGTCCCCCGGACCTCCAGGAGGTTTCACCGGGTCCCCCAACTCTAAGTGGCTGTGCTGACCACACAGCCATGGCCAAGCCATGCCCTGTATAGTTAGGTCCAGTTTACATATGTCAGCCTGGGCTAGAGTGGGGCCCCACCACCTTCAGTTGTGGTTCCCTACATAGAATGGGATTCCCAGTCAGAAAAAACAGCTCAGAGAGCATCAGTGACCTGCCCGAGTCCTCTGGGTCTCTCCTCGGGCCTGGTGCCCTCGGAAGACACAGGGGCTGGGAGCAACCCCTGCCAGGTGAGGAGGTCCCAGACTCCAGACCATGGCCCACCCACACAGATGTACCCCTTGCCACCCCAGAGCGAGCCCTGTTCAAAGCTGATTCAACACAATGAACCCCAGGACTTCACAGCGGTCCCTCTGTTACTTCCGTCGTCCAGGGGCCACGGAAGGGACCGTGACAACTGGCTGTGCCCATGGGGGCCGCCCCTCTGTTCTTGGGAGGAAAAGCTCCTCCTCCTGAGGGGACCACGCTTGCCTCCCCAGCGGCAGAGTCCCAGAGCAGCGCCTGGCTGACCTTCACAGATGCTGCCCCATCGCCTTCCAAATCCCTCAGCTCTCGCTTCCCGGGCGCTCTGAGTTCCTCCCTCAGCCCTTGGAGTGGCCCCTCAGTAAACCCCACACCCTCAAACTTTGCCACTTCCAGCTCTTGCGGGAAAGTGAAGGGGTTTCTGTCTGCAAATGCTGGCTCTGAGGCACGGGTGCCCCACGAGATCCAGGACGCGATGCTGCAGCCAGTAGTCCTAGGTGAATGGAGAGCACAGAGTGTGCTCACTGACTTCCAGAACTCCCCAGTTGGGTCTCATATAAGGAAAGCATTTTTCCCTACTACCATCACTTTGACCCCAGTCCTAAAAACATGCTTCCCACCTCCTCCACCTGTTGTCTTCACGGAAGGCCCTGCATTAGCAGAGAATGCCTCTATCCCTATCTTCAATGGTTGCAGGGCGTTTGTGTGGGTGGGTGTCTGTGGATGGGTAGTTTAGTGGAAGAATTGATGGATGGATGGGTGGATGCATGGATTTGTGGATGGATGAGTGGATGGATGAATGAATGGATGGATGGATGGATAGATGGATGGATGGATGGATGGATGGATGGATGGATGAGTGGTTTAGTGGATGGATTGATGGATGGATGGATGGATGCATGGATGAGAGGATGGATGAGTGGATGGATGAATGAATGGATGGATGGATGGATAGATGGATGGATGGATGGATGGATGGATGGGTGGATGGATGGATGGATGAGAGGATGGATGAGTGGATGGATGAATGGATGCATGGATTTGTGGATGGATGAGTGGATGGATGGAGGATAGATGGATGGATGGATGAGTGGATGGATGAGCAGATGATGGATGAGCAGATGATGGATGAGTGGATGGATGAGTGAATGCCAGAGATGATAGGTGAGTTGATGGAGGAGAGGGATCTTGTCAGATTCAACTGTGGAGAGTGTCTTTCCCAGTTGACTTAAATGTTGATTTCGAAGGACATGACAGTGGGGTCAGAACTTCTTTCTCCGTGTGGTCACTTCTAGGAGCATTTCCACTCTTATGTCATCACCAAAGCTCTGCAAGATGGTGACTCACAGACAAGAAAATGAGGCATCAGCTAACCTTCTTCCCGGGCAGAGCTCCATCACGTGTCCCTCCTTACGGCAGGGACGGTGCCTGTGGGCTCCGTGGAGGACGTCCCCGGGCACCATGTGCAGCTCAGAGCAGGGCCCAGGAGCTCTGCCCGATGCCCCAGGGCAGTGCAAGGTCAGGATGGAATACACAGCACCCAGGGACAGTAAGTGTGCCTTTCGCCTCTTCTGAAGGACTTGATTCACGGCTCTCAGTCAAAAGAGGGAGAGGAGGAAGGCGGGGTGTGTGGTGGGGCCCCCTGAAGAGCTGAGGCCTGCTGGGAGGAGAGGAAAGGAGAAGATTCCTAGCAGGCGGCAGGGCCGAGGGGCCTCAAGATGAGAACACACTGTTGCTCCGTGGAGTGTCCCCCGTGGCCCCTGCTCCTGCCAGCTGGGTTCTCTTTCCCACCGAGTCCCTGGGCGGACGGAGGGAGGCAGGGCTGGGGCCTGGGCACACTGACTGCAGCCCCGAGCATCGGCCCAAGGACCAGAGGACAAGCGTGAGCAAAGCTCCTCCTGACCCAGGACACGGGAGTGGGCTGTCCACCACACGTGGGTGTGCAACACCAAGACTGAGGCTTCATTCAGGGAAAGTGCTGAACTCAGCCAATAATATCGTAGAGTTAAGCCGTCCAAACCCAAAGGGAGGGTGCTCTTTTCTGTGTTCACATCTAGATTTATTATAAAAGTAAGAACAACAAACCCACCACCTCTTCCCACTGGAGTTGAAAATGAGGCTTGAACAGCGGACACCACCCGACCGGGTAATGGGTAGGGTGCAGGCACCCAGTGGGCCCTGGGCCCTGGAGGAAGAGGCCTGGGTGGGGCAGGCACAGGGCCTGGCCCACAGGGTGATCTTTGCTGGGCTCTTCTGCTCTCCCAGTGAGGTGCCCACAGGCCTGTGCTGACAACCCTCCTGCGTGGCCCCCGCGTGGAGGGGGCATTGTTGGCTTTCCCTCCTGAGCCCCCGGGGCCGCTGCTGGGTCAGCCCTTCCCAGGAAGCCTGCTAAGGCCGGTCCAGAGGGCGAGGGTCACGCCCCGGTCTGCAGCCACCACAATGCAGCCGCTCACTTGTGAAGGGATGTTGCGTGGACACCCCCTGCAGGGCCACTGGCAGCCCTGCCACCCTGTGCTGGCTGGCGCTCACCTCCCGGGTGGGGGCTGAGACCGGGGTCCCAGCTCAGACGCCGACCTCAGAGTCTGGCGGGCACTCAGACGGGAAGGCGAGCGGCCTTGTGCTTCACCCCTCTGGACGCCTGCTTCACGTGGGGCCCTGGTACCAGTGACCCACTCTGGGCCACGCCCCCACACCCACCGGCCACCAAGTTCCCTGTCACTTTAGATATAAAGTAGAAAGGGGAGCGCCTTTGTGGTCCGCCCAACCCAAACAGGGTGATCCCCGGGGCCCTGCTGCCTCCCTGGCGCCCTCTGCTGGGAGCTTTGGGGAGAGGGTGTCCAGGCTCAGCTGCCTCTGCTGCCCTTCCCTTTGGTGGCCTGTCCAGCGGCCTCGAGGGGCTGGCCATCGAGGGGAGGAGTGCTTGAATCAAACCGTCAGAGAGAGCTGCCACTTCACGGAGCACCCATTCATCGTAACTCAAAGACTGGCATCACATTTATTATTATCTTTTGTTAAATATTTCAGATCTTTTCGGAGCACGTGGTGTACAGGGCATGGCAGGTGTTCTTCCCAGTACATGTCTGTGTGCGCGGCGGTGACAGGAGGAGAGGTGGCCCAGGGTGGCCCGGGGCCAGGCTGTGCACCTGCAGCGCACGTGGCTCCGCTAACAGCCTCTGGGCCCCACTACCAGGTTCCCCTGAGACCCAGGTCTCACAGTCAGGTGACATCCAAGAAGCAGGCCCGGGGGGGACAGCGGAGATGTCACCCGTGTCGGTGCCCTACAGAAACGTGCTAACTGGGAGGTGGTCTATCTCCTCTGAGGGTGGGTGGCTGGGCAGTGTGAGCTGGGATGGGTGTCTGGGCAGACTGGCTGCAGCCTCCAGAGGTCCTGGCTGCTCCCCGGTGACGACAGAGGCTTGAACTGCCAGGGAGCCGACGTCAGGCAGAGACCAGGCGGTAGAAGACAGGCCCCCGAGGCCACAGAACATCCCGATGCCTGGGGGCCTGGAGCCGCGCTGGGCGGTCCCCCGGGCCAGCCTGGGCGCCTTCCTGTGGAATCCCCGCTCGGAAGGACCTTCCCGGCATGGCAGGGGCCTCGCGGCAGATCGGGTCCCAGAGCGGAGGACCCGCATCTTCTCAGGTGGGGCTGCTCGAGGCCGCCTGGGCCAGGCAGCGGGCGGCACCTTCTCCAGGAGAGGCTGTGGCTGTGTCTGCTGTGACGGCGCCCACGGGGGCCAGGGGCAAGGATCCTCTAGATTCAGAGAGAACTTGCGCCCTTCAGACTGAAGTTTTGAAAAGTAAATTCTTCATAGCAGCTCGGTTTCTGAAGTTCTAATGAAAAAGATCCGCAGAATCGGGGGAGGGTGCGTTGTGATGGTCCGCGGCAGGGACCCGAGGGGGTTGCTGGCGGGGCTCAGGGAGGAGTTCCCGGCCCCACCCCACGGTTCCTCTTTGTGCTCTGGGATGGGGTCTGGCACCCTCCCCTCAGCCCGGGCGACACCGGAAGGAAGGCCTTCCCCAGGGAGGGGCTGCGTGGAGGAGCAGTGAGTGAGGCGGGCCGGGAGGCTGCAGCTCAGGCCTGGCTTCACCTGCAGCCCCGGTGACTGTCAGACCCTCAAGTTCCTCCTCAGAAAATGGGGGTCACGCTACCACCCACCGTCGTGGGGGGAGGTCAGCAAAGGGGCATTCCCCTGGGAGTGCGGGTCCCAGGCTGGGCCCTGGGGCTGTTAGCTACACGGAATCTGATCTGAAGGGAGAAGGGCCTGAGGGGGCCCGGGAAGTCCTGGGCAGGGGTGGTGATGGAGGTCGGGGAGCCCTGGAACCTGGGTTTTGCTCTTCATGGCTAGAGGGGGCGCTGACAGGGTGGAGGGAAGGCCTCCTGGCCGAACCAAAGGAGACGAGTTCCCAGCCTGGAGCTCCGACCCTCTGCCCGCCCTGCCAGGCACGGCTGCCAGCTGTGGGCGCCCCGGGCGGGGCCTTGCCGAGCCTCCTCAGTAGCTGCTGTCTGCGAAGAAGGGCGAGCGGGCCAGGGGGGTGCAGTCACCCCCGCCGCGGGGCCGGGCCAGCTCCCCGTACTCGCTGTTGTAGAACACCTGGCCTCCCGGGGGACCCCGGTCAGGCCGCCGCCGCCGCCCCTGGGGGTCCGGGTGCGCCCCGGTCACCTCCGCGCTCCAGCCGGGTCCTTTACAGCTGCTGCACAGGGAAGGGCGTCAGTGGGAGGGATGGACCTGGGCCAGGTCTGGCCGGAATCAGCAAAGACACACCTGAGTCAACTTAAGTGCGTGCCAGGCCGATGGAAGGACACACCGGCTCCACTTAAATAGCAAACCGGGCAAACACCAGGGTTTTCCCCGCCCCAAGCCTGGGTGTGGGACAACGGCGAAGGCGAGCTTCAGTCCCGCAGACCTGCTTCTCGCCCAGCCCTGCCATCTCCGCAAATGGCACCAGCCCTGACCCCGCGCCCACACAGCCGGCCGTCATCTTGCTTCCTCCCCTCCTCTCGCCCTCACCCAACCATCCGGAAGTCCCGTCTGTTCTGATTGGAAATACACCCCTGCCCGTCTCCACGTCCGGCCCCTACTCTGGAGCAAGCAGCCACCGTTGCGCGGGCTACGTCCCAGCGTGGCCTGGCTGCGCTGTCTGAGCACTGGGCACGGCGACCATACTCGGCTTTACAAAGAGGGGGTGTCAAAAGGAAGGGAGGAGACGTGGGGACCAGAACTGGGTGTGCTGGGTCAGGACGGTGCGGGGGAGGCGCTCCTTTGGGAAAGCTGGTGACAAAGGCCTGGAGTCCCAGAGCGGATGGCCCTGAGCACACGGAAAGGCAACGGGAGCCCGAAGGTTCGGGGAAGAGGGCACCGCACACGCAGGCCCAGCCCACCTCCCTGGACCCCTAGCGGGAGGCTCAGGAACCCCTACCTGAGCCCGCCCTCCGGTTGGTGCCTGCTCTCCAGCTGCTCAAACTCCTCGGAGGCCAGCACCATCCCGCTGTCCGTCTGGTTATCCTGTGCAGAGAACAGAGAGGCTGTGCCCCACCACGGCCGGGCTGCAGGCGCTGCCCCCCGCAGGCGGGCCCGCAGGGACCTGGACCGCTGCCAACCTGACACCGTCTCCTGACACCATCTCCTGAGCAGGAAACAGGCATCCGACACCTCCTAAAGTGCGCAGGTGAGGGCCGTACGCCCACCCGCCATAAAGGGGGAAACTGAGGCCTGGGGGCCGCGCCTGGCCTGGGCCCAGGAGGCAGCGAAGCTACAGCGCCCCATGCTGGGGACCTAGAAGGCAGCCAGGCACGTTTCCAGGCTGTTAGGACTAAGGTCTCAGGTCTGGACAGTTCTTATTAAAAGCTATTCTTTTTTAAAAAATATGTTTCATTGATTTCAGGGAGAGGAAGGGAGAAAGATAGAAACATCAATGATGAGAATCATCAATCGGCTGCCTCCTGCATGCCCCCTGCTGGGGATTGAGCCCACAACCCGGGCATGTGCCCTTGACCGGAATCGAACCCGTGACCTTTCAGTCTGCAGGCGGACGATCTATCCACTGAGCCAAACCAGCCAGGGCTTAAACGCTATCCTTGCTAAATTTTACAACGCAGCACAGTACTTTACAGACCAGCTGTAAACAGGATGACCTTGACAGGAACTCAACAGATAACTGTCGCTAACTGCAAAGAAGACGTCAACATGCAATGACCAAGGCGTGTGCCTAGGCAATGGCTAGGCTTCCCTGGGGGCACATGGGACACAGCTTGGCTGTGGACGCCCGTCTCCTGGCAGCAAGTAGACGAAAGCACCTGTGACAACCACAGTCTCTTGACCAGAGCAACCCAAGCAGCGAACCCCGCAGTTCGGTAACAAATATGGCAACGCCCATGGAGCTCTCCTAACAGCCCCCCTTTCACCCGGAGGACCTGGGGAAGCAGGGGCAGCGTCCCCAGTGGACAGGGACCACCCCACAGGAGACTCCGCTTGGTGCTACCACCAGAAGGCTGCCTGGCGCCCGGACAGCGAAGGGGTGGATGCCTGACCCTGGCTCCTTCAGCGCTTCAGCAGGGAGGAGGGTGGGTGAGCCCTGTGGTCACTTCCATTAGCGTTTCCATTCCTGTCTGGGTCTCGGGTTGTTGGAAGGTAGGTGCCGTCCGGTGCGAACTGGACTTCGGCTGGTCAGGCAGGAGCTGCGTCTGGCCCGGGTTCGGGGCTGACCTGGCTCTAACGCTGAGGGCCGAGGAACGCCTGTGGGAGCCCAGGCATCCTGGCCTGCTTGTTGGCCGGGTGCCCTGCAGATGGTGGGTTGTGTTTGTACCTGGTCTGTCTTACAGTAAATGTGTCGCGATAGGAAACTCAAATTCGATCCCCGATGCAGCCTCTCGGCGTGCACGGTTCAGAACTGAGTAAAAAGAGCCCTGGTGGTTTGACTTAAAGAAATTAAGCACAGCCCTGGCCGGGAGCTCAGTGGTTAGAGCGTCGGTCCATGGACTGAAGGGCTGCAGGTTCGATTCCAGTCAAGGGAACGTATCTCGGTTGCAGGCTCGATCCCTGGGCCCCCAATTGATGTGTCTCTCACATTCGTCTCTCTCTCTCTCTCTCTCTCTCTCTCTGTCTCACCCATTCCCTTCCCTTCCACTCTCTCTAAAGATCAATGGAGAAAGGATCCTTGGGGGAGGATTCACACACACACACACACACACACACACACACACACACACACACAAGAAATTAAGCGCGTATATGAATGAAGAAATATGACGATTGCCTCGATGGTGGGAAGCAGCCTGTGTGTCCAAGGCGGCCTTGCTCCAGCCGGGAGTCTACGCGGACTTGGGAGGCACTGCTTTCCCGGTGCCGCCTCTGCCTCCTCGGGTTTCAGCATTTACTACGCACATAAGAGCCCTGGTGGTTTGACTTAAAGAAATTAAGCACAGCCCTGGCCGGGAGCTCAGTGGTTAGAGCGTCGGTCCATGGACTGAAGGGCTGCAGGTTCGATTCCAGTCAAGGGAACGTATCTCGGTTGCAGGCTCGATCCCTGGGCACCCAATTGATGTGTCTCTCACATTCGTCTCTCTCTCTCTCTCTCTCTCTCTCTCTCTCTCTCTCTCTCTCTTTCTAAAAACTGATAAAAGCATATCATCCCATGAGGATTAAGTAAAAAAAAAATTAAAGTTTAAGATGTCAATTAAACAAGATGAAGGAGGCACATTTTAAGTTATAAAGAATCAAAATATATTTGATCAAA